CCGACCGCCCGATGGGTGCCTCGTAGCTCAGTTGGCTATACTCTTGGCTGTAGTAAAGCTGCTGGCGTAGGCTTATAGCCGGCACCCAACGTTGATGTGCTCGGTTTCCATGTTAAAGGTCAACAACCCCAAGGTCATTCCCGGTTATCTCAGTCAGCGCTTTCAGACGCGCTGACCTGCAGACACTTGACCGACTTCCACATGCTCACGTCCAGGTAGTCACGGCTGCCCATGCGCCATTTTAACATGCGTATTTTTGTTTCTCAGAAAGGTGAGGTTTTCAGAAATGTTCAAGGGACTGCCCATTCACGGAACACTCTATTATTCCATGTCTCACACTCACCTCTGGTATGGGAAGACAGTGAGTAATGTTCGCTACCACCTGCGTCATATCCAGTGCCTGGGGGTAGAGTAGGTAGACTGAACGAGGAACCGGGCGTTTCCAGTTGTTATCCGAAACCTCTGCCATTCGCTCAAAGGTATGGGGTTGTGCGGCAGAAGACACCTTTTTCTGGAAGACGCTACCGAGAACCGATCGCTCAGAACTCCTGTGGCTGTCCCCTCCGTCTGAAACCTGCACCACGAGGGACAACTCAAAGCTGTTTGTCTCCTGTGAGTAGACAAGCCGGTGCCAGCTGATGTTGCAATGACTGACAGTTTTGAAGGCCCGAATATCGATAAGAAGATACATCCACCATATTCTGGTTAAGAGTATGCTGAACAAGGCTAACAACAGGAGAGAATAAAACCCAGGTCTGTTGGCGAATGCCATGCAGTTGTGCATACTTGTCACGCTGTGAGCTAAGCTGTTGCGTGAAGCAGTGCTTGAGTGATTTATAATGCAACTGCAACCCTAAAACGCCATTTCTATTTCTTCCTAGTACTCAGTTAGATTGTGGGTGTTTGGTGCGCCGTGTAAACCTGAAAAATCATCACATACAGTAGGTGCGTTAACTCATGCATAGTCATGATGTTAAATTTGATGTCGTAGTTTGTCACACAAAAGTCGGACGGGCTTACGAAATCCAAGGATTCTTTTTAAAAGAAAGCCCCTGGGAATAGTAATATCAAATGGGAAGGTAGAAGTAGCTCTTTTTTCGAAAAACAGAAAATTCCGAGTAATCGGAGTAATCGGGGCTATTAAGGAAACCTAAGTTTTAAATGTAAAGGTAGTCTTTCCATGAAAGAAGCCGAGTAAATTAAGCAGCAGAAGTAGGACTACGTTATGCTTAGCACTTTACGATTTTCGAGGTTTTAATTCGATCGTCCCTGAATACCCCTGTTTTTTTCTACGTGTTTGCCAAAATCTTCAAACTAAATGATTTCTTAAAAGCATTTACCGAGGTAACGAGTTCGTAAACATTGCTTCTTATGCAGCTGTCTTTTTGGGTCATGGTTTTTGAATCACCCAAACTTGTGAAATCATTGCGTCGCAAATGAATACGCCTAAAATTATTTAAAAATAAATTTTATATAACAAATTGTCTCTTGAAAAAGCGCCTTTATTAGATACTTCAGCTCTAAAGTCTGAGTACTTTAGATTTTTTGAAGATTAAGTCAAGTCAAAATGGAAATGTGTCACGAGGTTTTTGACTTTCCTTAAAAGTGGGATACATCTTCTACTGAAAATGAAAGGACTTACTTCTCTTTCAGTTTATTTGTTTACTTCTAGGGTCAATTCTAACATAAAAAGCAGAACAGAGTGGCTGAATATCAACGAAGATTCTTCAAGTACTGATAATCTTCAATCCGTCCTGTTTCACTTTCTTCTATTCAATGATTCTGCTCTATGGACAGAAGATGTCTGCAAATCTTTCGTATATGGCGTCAAAGAGAACATTGATGATACTTTGCGACCATTCATATATATATATATATGCCTGATTACGGTCCCCATTTTCGGCGTGGTAAAACAAATAACGGTTTCATAAGTTTATTCATTAACTAAATGGCACAAAACGCAACAGATTGGTAAGACAGTATTTTGTCAACTGATTATAGTCTCCTTTTCCGGACAATAATGCGTTATGCCGTACGTGCGCTCACCTAAATTTCATGAATGCAAAACCAAACTTTTCTTCTCTGTTAACAAATATAATTTAAACCCTACTGGTCCTTATTAATGTTCTTTTATATTACAACACGCGCAAACTAAAAGTTTTTCTCTGCAGCTTTTGATAACGCAAGAAATTCTTTGTATATCAAAAAACGTTGGGTTTGGCCCAATTACGTTCATATTTCCCCCCCCCCAGTATACTGATCTGAACGGAAGTCACTTCTAGTAAACAGCATTTTGCACCTCAAGTCAACCCAATGAACAAAATGAACAACCTCAAATGTGTGTTAAATCCCTCATTCAAACTTTGCTCTTCACATTTTATCAGATATACAATCTGCTGTGCATTTGGTTTCTTGAATGAGATATAAGGTGGTGGATTTGTGGAAGCTGTTCGTCACGAAACGTGGCAAAACGTTTCGGCCGTATTTTGTTTTACCTCATCGTTGTCGTATGCATTGAGATAAAATTCTTTTTTATTAAATCTGAAGCATGTGGCAAGCTTCTGATTTTTACAAAGCAGTTTCCGCTAACGCCTACTTTAGAAACAGAACGGTCAGCAAATTCATACTTCTTATAAAAGCCTCAATATGTTTTCATCCCCGCTTTTTGCACATTCAATCTGTGAATGCAGTCTAAAAGTATTCAAATATGGGAAAAAGTACTCCAGTATTTTGAGAGTAGTGCGTGTTTTCAATTCAAAACAAAAATTTATTAGGTATTTTGAGGTAAATTAAAAATTTGGTCACCATTTTCCATTTGCCTTTTGACGTTATTTCAGAAGAATATCACATACACGGATTTTCCTCAGCTGAGTACCTAATTAGAGTGCATTTTAAACGGATAACCTAGTACATAAAGTTTTGAATTTCATCTGAAGCATACCAATGTCAGATTGTTCTCAACAATATTCATAGGTTATAACTGTTACACAAAATGACCATTTTCATGAGAACTAATATTCCAATTCATGTTCTTATAAATACTTTTAAAAGTGACCTTACTTTAGAGGTTTTCGCATACCCGTCGAACGGGACACTCGGATGGCCATTTCTGGCTCATGAGCCGTCGTCAGCTAGTGATACCCAACTCCTGTGTTGCCGCAGAAATTGCTGCCTTACTCGAGTTTCGAACCCGCGACCTTGTCCAGTGTTCTTACCACTTGGTTGCGGGCTCGCTGTCTTGTCGGTTCTTGGTCAGGAATATACAGTACAAAATACCGAGATTTCTTTAAGAAAAGATGACACTTCAGAAGATGAATTGGCGAACATACGTTTGTTTTCGATAATTCTCATCAGG